TCTGAACTGACAAGAGTAAGGTGCTAAGGTGATTTTACTGCCACATTTTTACCCAGGAAACAATTTACTTAAATAAAATAATGCAAGTGAGTGTGTTAAATAAGATAGTACATCTTCACAAATTATATCCCTAACATACGAAACATATGTTATTGTTCTAAAATTATGACACAAGAATTGTTTAGAATACAATTCAAGTTGACCATCAGACCAATTTGTGATAGGAAAGGTCCTGAAACGCTTCTTTTCAGTATTTTATATTGTTCTCAGAAATGATTTAAGCTTTGTCGTTACTTGAAAGTAAACTTAATTATTTTTCCTCTATTAATCACTGGGGAACTTTTATTTGTTCAAAATATATTACATGCACTATTTGTTATTATAAGCAAAGGCACATGAACTAAGAACATTTTGGTTCTCTTCTTTTTGTTAGTTTAAATTCCTATTGACCTCACAAGATAAACTTCACAAGATAAACCAGTGCTAACAAGCCTCCTTTTTAAACAAATAATACTGAGAAAATATGTGAAGGGAATGAGGATGTAAAATGGATGGCCTTATTTTAAATACCACCAAAGGCTTATTCTTGGTGTTTAACAAAAAGGAACATGTTGGATTAATGTGATAAAAGGCTATTCTCAACCTATTTTTTCATCCTAATTTTAAACACTTCCTTGAAGGGTTAGAGGTCTTAATCCATTGCTTTCTCCCACATTGGCCGTAAATATTTAATATTGGAGTGGTCATTTTAGGCATTGGATTCTGAAGAAAGGAAGAAATATTTGCAACTCCACAAAACATAATAGCTGTGCTTTTTGAATATCTGTCCATTCATAAGACCTGTTAAAACAGATCTACCACATATATCCATATCAGTTTAAAATCTTGCAGAAGACGTACCATATCTGTGCAGTCTTTTTCTTAAACAGACTATAGCTTGTATCTGAATTCATTCATGATGGGCAGAGAAAGACTAACCAGAAAATAGCTCCTTTCAAGAGAACTCCACATTCAATCATCCTATATTTTTGAAACAGAAATAGTTAAGAGTATCCATCACAATTTCTCAGTTGCAGAGAAATTAAGACATGGTTTTCATATAGACAAATCTACAGGGGTTCTCAACCTTGGCAACTTTAACTCCCAGAATTCTTGCAGCCAACTACATAAATTGAAGTCCAGACATCTTAAATTTGCTAAGATTGAGAAATGCTGTTCTGGCGGCTGCCACAATGACTAGCTAGAGAACACATACAAAATACTCTGCATGGTGTCCTCATTGGTCATATCCAGCTGAAGTGAATGGCCTGAGATTGTGGTAGGCTGTGATTTTCATGTTGCTGCAAAACCATGTTTTTTAATTGACTTTCTGAATTCTTTTGATGGGTAAACTGACACCCTACTGCCTAAATGGTTGGAAAGTACTTGCAATTTCCATTTTATCAAAGCAATTTCCACAGAAATAACAGCAGTTTCTTTTTTTTTAATCTTCAGGGATTTGAAGCCAGAAAATATCCTGTTAGATGATTATGGTAAGTCTGAGAGCTTTAGGTAAAACATTTTTGTCTACAGTAAAATGGCTTATATATAGTTGTCTGTACACAGCCAAATCATTCTCTGCAGTGGATAAGAGGCTAAATCATAAACAACATTTAACTTTGGATAGAGAAAAAAAATGGCACTTTTGCCAAAAAAGAGAGAGACCTTGTGAAAAGAAGA